ATCAAAATTTTATGGATGTAACATCCATTTTACCGTTAGATATTATTGGGATGAATTGGATCACTTGCAGCAACCATACTCCTACATTAACATCTCCCAGATTCTTTTTCCGGCTCTTGAAAAAGTCATCTCTAACACCCCTCAATTATGCATATCAATTAAAGATGCAAAGACGCCAAATCCACAATTTGTCCTTTTACCAGAAATAGATTTTTCAAGTGTCATTAAATTTGTTACAATAAATTCTGATAAAGAGTTTATTAATATATCTGAAAAAGAACTTTGTACTGAATTCGATTTAGATGATGAAACAAAACCTTTTTGGCGTATTGTTGTCGGAACCAACGATTCCACTGCATTTGAAAGTTCTGAAATGAAACCAAATTTCAATTTATGTATAATGTTTACATGCAATCATGTTATTGGCGATGGATTAAGTGCAATGGCATTTCAAGCTACCCTAATGGAAGCAATTGACGAAGTTTTCTTACAGAGAGAGACATGCGGAGGCTCTATCTCAAAATCAAAGTTCCTTATTGATCAATCAACTATTATTGCGAATCCATTAAGTTTTAAAAGTTATGAAAGTATTTATCAACCTGAAAATAATCCTGTAAAAATTGCATCTCCTGTCATAACTGGATCTGCAGCATCAAATTTTTGGATGGGTGACGTACGTCCATGTGATCTCCCTCAAGATATTACTAAAGTTCATTACTTATCTTTAACTGAGGATGAATTCACACCTATACTTGCATTAGCAAAAATTCACAAGACTACCATTTTCGCCGTTTTAAATATGTTGGCATTTTTTTCTATTCGTGAAGTTGTTGGCCATGCACTTGACTCTCAAATTTTAAAAGTTCGTGTACCATTTTCATTAAGAAGAAGCGTAACACCACAAGTCTCATTGAAAGAATTTGGAAATTTTGTTACTGTGATGTTATATGATTTTGATATGGTTAAAATTTCTTCTATTCAATTATCTGATAATGATTTCAAAGAAAAATTTTGGGATTTATGTCAAGGTTATACATTAGCTATCCGTTCTGAACCTTCAACTTTCTTTGAACGTCCAATTTTACCAGCTAAACCTGTTCAAAATAATGAAAATCATGATAAAAATAATGCTAGTAATGAAAATAAAAATGATAATCTTAAAGATACTTCTATTGAAAATTGCATGGGAGAAAATAATATCGATGAAAATAGAATAAATGAAAATGGTGCTGATGAAAAAAGTACTGATGAAAATGGTGCTGATGAAAAAAGTACTGATGAAAATGGTGCTGATGAAAATGTAGATGAAAATACTGCTGATGAAAATTATGTAGATGAAAGTGGTGTAGATAAAAAAGATGTAAACGAGAATGATGTAGATGAAAATGGTGTAAAGGAGAATGGCGTAGATGAAAATGGTGTAAAGGAGAATGGTGTAGATGAAAATTGTGTAAATAAAAATGGTGTAAACGAAAATGGTATAGAAAAAAATGGTATAAACGAAAATGGTATAGAAAAAAAAGGTGTAGATGAAAATGATGTGGATGAGAATAATGCATATGAAAATGGATTGAATGAAACCGGTGTAGATAACAATGGCGTGAATGAAAATGGTATGAACGAGAACGGCGTAGATAAAAATGGTGCAAACAAAAATGGTGTGAACGAGAACAGTATAGATGAGAATAACGTAGATAAAAATGATGTAACTGAAAACATTACAGACAAAAATGGTGCAGATGAAAATGGAGTAGATAAAAATGATAAAAATGTGGAAAATCAAAACAAGACAAATGAAAATGTTACAAAACAAGCATCTACTCCTCCATTACCTGATAAAAGAGTTAGCTCATTAAATATGTCTAATTTAGGAAGATTCCCCGTAAACTCGTCCAATAGAAAACGATCAGATTTAAAAGTTGTCAGTTTAAATTATTCTGGTTCGGCACCTAGATTCGATGCTGTATTCAGAATAAATTCTATTTCTTATGATAATGTATTACATATTTGCATTTTACATCAAGATGGTTCTATCCATGATGAACAAATGGATAAATTTATTAGTGAGTTCTTAAAAATATCAAGGATGATAGCCAAAGAAATTTAGTTTAACATTTTTTTTTAATCTATATTATATTTCAATGTTATAGAGTTAGTTTGTATGTGTTAATTATTACTTTTTATCACTATAATGTTTTACATAAATTATTGTCAGTTACCTTTTTAATTAAATAAATCTTACTTTTAATCACAATTATTTTACCGTTTTTATAATTTTTGCTAAAGATTATCCAATGAAATAACTTTTATTCTTATTATTTTATATATATTCCCGGAAGCTCAGAAAATGATGATATGATCCGGATCGAAAGAGATGGTTATATTTGTCAAACGCGTGATAATGTTCCGACATATCCTAAATTACTTTGCCTAAATTACTTTGACTATTAGTACACTTTCAATAATTTTCTACAGTCACTCGTAAAGTTCAGAGGCTGATGATTTTATGATGCAGAAATAAATATATGCGTGCTAATAAAACTTATAACCAATACAATAAATAGATAAATAAGTTGAAATTTCATCACCTAAACAAATAATGAATTTTTGTTAAATAATATCAGTGGAATTTATTAACGATAAAATTACACGTATTAAAAATCTTAACTTGAGTTTAAAAGAAAGTTAAAGTATTGACTATATATTTAAATTAATCATTACATAAACAATTCCATATCTTTAAAAATCTATTTAATTTCGGGAAGCTCAAGGAGCTTGTTTACCAAAATAACTCCCAAGATAATATAAGAATTAACTATATTTTCATTAACTATATTGCCGGAATATAAATCTTTATACATTAAACGGTTTTTATGAATTTATCAAGTCTGATTTTATCGAATTGACCGAGAAATCATTTGGCTAATTTTTATCAGGTGTTCCAGAATTTATGATAACAGCTGTAACATGAAAAAAAATCATGGTTTTTTAAAAAAATCTGGCATCGGTCATTATTTGACCGGTCAGCAACGGTTACGGTCAATGACCGGTCACGACGTCCCGGGGCTGGGTTTACAAAATTATTGCATCATTTGATTTAAATGTATGATTAGAATTATAAAGCAACGAAAATTTGAT